GTGTACAGTGCCTTAAGGAGAGTCATATATTTTTAAGGTGACAACCTTGCTCAATAGTCTGCCATGGTACGCGACGGTCCACAGGGTCTACGGCAACCTTTAAGTCAAAAAAACAACCGCTGCTGGTTGCTGAAAGCAGCATCGTTTTTCAGAGTACTGCTTTTAGTGTGCAATGGATCTACGGTGGTTGGATAGATTTCTGTCCGTTGGCATGCTTTCGGGAGCACAAGGGACTCTGACTACGATCGGTTTGTCCATGAGTTTGGGGTCGGCTGAACTGGCGCCAAGCAGAAGCCTGTTTTGCGCCCCTACCTTAGAACTGCCGTGGCTCAGCTTTCGCGCCTCCAGAGGGCGATCCTCAGATAGATGCCTTATTGTAAAGTAGGCCTTTTGAATGCTGTTAGCTTGCCACAAGTTCTTCTGTAGGGCAGATGGGAAGGAAAGGGTGAATGGAGGCCCAAGTGCTCGCTTGCTTCACCTCTGGCGTAACCCTTATTCGTGAAGGGATTTATGATCGGATTTAGTGGGGATGCTAACAAGGAGCGACTGTACCAACTTCCTTGGCGTGATTTTTCTGGAGATTGACCCTCAGATTATCACTCCACTCTTCCTTAAGCGCCTGTCCAATAGAGAGGTCGTGACGGTCTTTATTGCTACGTCAGAGGACTGGATGACTTTCCTCGCGGCCAACGAATCCAGGATGTGTAGCGCGGAAATGTGTGTACGGATCGAGTATTTTTGTTGAATTGGCGAATCCTTGAACTGTGCCCTGTGCTATTTCCGGTACGCATACTTTGATCAGCCACGATCTATCCGGTCTACCAAGTCTGTCACTTCGAACTAGCGAGGAGTAGCGAACAGCATTAAAAGACATGAACCTCTATTCACCTCAGTAAATCTGGAACAAGGATTTTAAGACCCAGTACAAATATGTTACTGGTTAAATCCTGACTGTACCGCATCCAGCCATGTGAAAACGATGCAAGTTTTCGAAGATTTGCAAATGCTTCTTATTTTTTAGGACAAAGTTGAAAAAAGCTTTCGTCTTACCTCTCCTCGTTTCTCTCACGAACAGGATTTTGCTGTACACGCTTTGAGGCAGAATTATTTAGACTGTTGAATATTGTTCGTATGATTACGACGTCAGATCCAAAAAGACATTTTTCGCCTGCGTACTGGACATCGGTTAGTGGACGTCCCGGGAGCACATCGACCCTACAGGCATAAGAGCCTGACAGTGATTCGTTCATAGTCATAGCAGGGACAAGAAGAAACTGAGAGCCCTGACAGCCCTGCCTGACGCAACTTTATGCGGTGAAATCAGACGATACCTTCCCGTATATCTTGACGCATGCTCGGGAGTCAGTGTACAGTGCCTTAAGGAGAGTCATATATTTTTAAGGTGACAACCTTGCTCAATAGTCTGCCATGGTACGCGACGGTCCACAGGGTCTACGGCAACCTTTAAGTCAAAAAAACAACCGCTGCTGGTTGCTGAAAGCAGCATCGTTTTTCAGAATCTGTCAGAGGGTGAAGATATGATCAATTCATCCTCTTGAAGGACGAAAACCAGGTTGGTTTACACGGATCTGTCTCCCCCTGTATTTAGGGAACCCTGTAATGATAGGAACAGAGAGCACCTTTGAAGCCACAACTACCAGACCGACGCTACGGCAGTTTTCACAAGGCGTCCATTTATCCTTTTCGGAGATGAGGATAACTGTCGACACGCCCAGGGTACTTCTGCTCTGTCCGAAATGTCACCAATAAGCTTTTTTAGATGGGTCACCATCTCCGCGTTTTTAAATAGGGCTGAATATAGGACACCTAGTTCTGGTGTAGCATAATGGCTACCTAGAAATACAAGAATTCAGCGAGCATTGCCTGTTCGCCAATGTGACATAGAGTAGGGATGCTAAAAACGCTTATGCAGGAAGTTTCTCGTGGTTCTAGAAAGGTGTCATTTCGTTTAGTGTTAATAGGCAGTGGGGCGCATAGGGCACATCGACCAGGTAGCTGACAGTCCAACGACTTAGTAGTTTTATTGTGCAGTAGGAGGGGCTGAGACGGGAAATCGGTGGACACGGAAGAGAAAGTTTTATTTGCTGGTAATATTTAATAAGGCACTGGGATACAGATAGAGATTAACTGTTTCGCTTGCTACCACGGTTTTTGTTCATGTCTTTAGATGAAGTATTTTATCACAATATTACGGACTGTAGCCGTGGGACAAACCAGACAAAGCCTAGATGCATCTGAAATTACGGAAAACGACTCAGTAAAGTGGAATATATTTGTGAAGAAGGTTAAATTAGTATTTGGCTATCTTGAGCGCCAAAATCCGGAGGCAGAGTTGTTGTTGGCTGTTCATATCAGCTTCGTGGACCGTGCCCCAGATTTAGACATGACGTCCAGAAAAGCGATACACATAATATGGGAACTGTGGAAATATGTGAAAAGCTGAAGGAATATGTAAAATGGGAACGAGCAGTTGAGCGCTGGGAAGCGAATTCAATTAGGACCTCTCGGTGCTTCTTAACTAACCGGTGGATTAGGACATTGCTGTTATGTCCCGAAATAGTGATTCAAACAGATTTTTAAATACGCTGTGGAATCACGTTGATCATCGCCAGCATAGTAAGGCGCATTACTGTGGCTTCTTTTGTGGCCAAAATAAGCCAAAAGGGGCGCGGCAACCATGTTGCCAGTGTTCATAAGAAATGCCGGGGAAAAACTGGGCTTGGTTCCCAGAGGTTTATTTTTAGACGGGGCTGAACAGTTCTCGCGTGTTCAGTTGAACAAACACTTTTGTTTTTGACGTCCATGGTCCGTTCACAAAATCAGAAGGAATTCGTGGATCCAGTGATTTCGTGTACATTGGCCTTTTCAATTTGACTCTATGACTATGAATCAGGCTGCTGAATCCGAATTCAGATCTAGGGTTAGGTTTCATCATCATTAAGGTATAGACCATGTATAGACCTGTTTCAATAGCCTGGATGGCCGCCGAGTTGAGATTTCAGGTTACCGAGCGTCGCGGAAAACCAGTTTGATAAGTAGTATATTCTCGCCGACGCTATTGACTGATTCATGGTACATTTTCGCCACACTTCGGTGAAAGGTCCCTGGGGCGCCTGTATTTTTCAAAATCTTTTTAGATGATATAAATCACGCTCCAGATTGGCAAGGAGACCAAGATCTTGAATCCTGTGAAGGAGGTATTGGACTAGATACAATGAAGTCTTATTCATATCGTGATTCACGACGTGAGGTGACTACCCCCAGTTCGTCCGCTGAGAATCAGGGCCGAACGATGAATTGAACAATTACTTACGTTGGTTTTCGGTGATGCCCACAAACGATGTCTGTGTGCGGCAAGCATGACATCCCGTTTTTACTTCAGCATCATGCTACTTTCAGATTACAAGTAGGTAGAATTTAGGACCTCTCAGTATTCGCACAAGAACTGATTTCTCGAAAGCCACGACATTTTCAAGGTTGCCACTTCATAGTTTGGAAAGTCTGTGTATAACGGGTATTTACATGTATTGTGCAAATTATTTACACTGATGATTTGTCTCAGTGTGGCAACCTTCAAGGTCACTAAACACTGTGAAGACGTTTCACGCAACGTAGTTGAAACTGGATTGTACCTGCTTACATGTGTTCATCGTACGACCTAATGTATGTGCATTTCTCCTTCTCCCTATTACAGATAATCCCGACCAAGCGTGCTGACTGAGTTGGCTGTTTACATATCATGTTATTTTACCAGTTTCGGTTTCGATCTCGGTCATCGAATACACGCGTTTCTGCACCGCGGTCGCTCTGCCTTCCAATCTGTGCGTCGTGCTTGCTGTGTCTGGCGTGTCTCTGTTTCTGAATTAACCCAATGTAGTTCTTGCCTTCCAGCGTACTACGTCGACTTACTCAGGCTACATGCCTAATATAATAAGAAATCACGAATTACGCCTCATGTTTCCACATGCAACTCTCAACCTCTGGAGTTGATGACGGAACAGTAAAATGATGGATGAGGTAAACAGATTGGCCATTGCCATCGAGTGTGTTTTATTGCAGCTAAACACCATCAAATGATCTTAAAGGACACTCATGAGGGGTCGCTGTGTACTTGAGAAGGTAATGCTGATTACCTTGGCACAGCGAATAGACTACTAATATTTCGTGAGTAGTGGTGACATAGTCTTTGATACACTCTGATAAATAGTCACAAAAAAACTACAATGGGGTCATGGCTACTCAGTTTCTGCTGTTCAAAAAGACCACTCAATAGGCTTCAGCTCATTGAAAATACGTTGTGAACTTTCTCTGGGAAAGAACTTAGTATCCTTTGTATATCCCGGCTGTTAAACGCTTTCTTCTATTGATATCGTATCCGTTAAAATGACGATAAGGGATGTCTTTTCCCATACCACAATGATCCTACGCATTCAGTGGAAGAAATTACTTCTACCAACACAGAACCCACACGCTCACACAAGTCCGAAGAAAGTGCTGATTCGACGGGAATGATTCGACATATTTGTGCGAGGGAGTTTTCTAAACGATGTTATGCCTGTTGATTTAAGCAGTGCACTTTCAGCGAAGGAAAAAGACCTCGAAGGAGTCCTAGAAAGATGGATTACACGCTGATCGATACCTGTAACCTGCGAAAGGGCAGGTTACAGGAGGGATTATATGAAGTGTACCACTCTGCGAGCGAAGCCAACCAATTAGATTTAGGGTCCGATTGTTTATAGTATTTGATTGGCCCACGTGCTCCAGGGTTTTACTCAATGCAGTTGTACCTTAGCCCCATTTTCGGGGTTTTGTACAGCGAATATGCGATTGCATCGTTAGAACGTACCGCATGGTAGGAAACCTGATGCGCTACACCGTTGAGTCAGTGAATTAATTGTGTTTCAGATTAGAAGTTTTGGAAACTGCTATCAAATTTACCTTTTTGGATTGGCTATCGGCTGCGTGAACTCCGGCGCAATATGGTAAATTCCACTGTGCCGGCTTCCGCTGCCAGTGGGACCATCAAGATGTACACATCTGCGTTGATATATCTTGCAGGACTGGAGCAGCAGGAACTACAGGTAAGACGTAAATACAAAATACGGTCCGCAGCGGTAACATTTCGGAATCATGTTGGGGGAAATGAGATGAATGAATCTACGAAACAAACAAAAGGGTGAACTGAGGGCTCTATGATGGTGATCTGTGAGATGGAAAGTATTAGGTCACAAAATATGCTTTTTATATCCGCTCACAATACCGCGCACATCACACTTGACGCATGCGCGAAGTTCGCTGCATTCAGATACATGATCAACCGGGGGATCATTCGTAGTGTGGAATATCACCGGAAAGGTCGCCGCTAGAACGGCCAGTCCGTCGTGACGAGTGCAGTGACTTTGGTCACATTCCTCATGGCTAGGTGAGTGGTGGCCCACCTTCCATTCCAGGCAAGACCAGAGACACTCGGTAGGTGACAGGCAAAAGCTGCAGTGAACAGTGCTCATAGCGATGAGCATAGGATAAGATCAGGCATTCAATTGATTATCTTGTAACTTATTGAAAGAAATTCGTACTAGATAGTGCAAAGAAAGAGCATAAATACGGGAAATTAGATCTATTGAGCAAGAATTAGAACGAGAGCCTTGTATATTTTGATTGCTGTGAGGAATTGCCATTCCACAGTCCAATGCGATGACTTATCCGGCTTCCAGTAGCTCTTTCAAGTAGCAACATCTATCCTTGCCTGCCTGTTTGTCGGAGAAGCTTTACTTTTCTGTACCCATCAGAAGCGTTTACAACCGAAAGCAACTGTTGCTGTTTTAGAGCAACTATGCTCATGAACTGATCCAGCTTCTTTGGGAGTACACGTGTTCTTACTGTTGTGTTTGGCACAACTGACCTGCTAGTCTCAGCGATAGGGACACCCAGTGAAGTAGCATGCAAAGTTAACATCTGACATGAATCGTCTCAACTGAAGCTGACAACGAGCAGGCTTGAAAATCCTGGACAGTCATGTTTATTTTCCAAAAATCGTTTGAGGAACACTCAGCTGATTCAAGGCACGTGACAATGCCTTGGTAATATGAGGTGAAAATAGATAACAACGTGATATTTTCAGAGGTGTAGTCATGTGTTTCCCACCCCGTGATTCTACATAACATCGTTCCGTGAAGGGCAAAAATATCACCAATGACAAGCATAAAAAGACTATAATGTGTCAAAACTCATTGAAGCAAACAACACCTGGTACTATCAGGTCAGCCAAAAAGATCTCCCCGTGAAAAAGAACTAATCAGGTATGTAATCCAGCTTGAAGTGTCACACACGTTTAAACGTATCTTCTGACGCGAAGTATTAATTTTTTCTGCAGTAAAATGTGAACATAACTCTGGGCAAACCATAATGGTACCGATGTGATGCAACTGGAGCGTCACGTGGCCTGAATCATATGATTCTATCCAAACAGATGTAGAATTATCAATTTTGGTAATACCAAACTAGGTAAGATGTTTGAATACCCTTTTTATCCGTAGCTTAAATGATTGTACACAAATTGTGCGTGTTGGAAATCATTCGGCGTAGAGGACGTGGAAACTCAATATTCCTACGATCCACATGTAGATCAGTTTCACCGTTCACACGATTGTTCCCTTCTCTTCTACCTCAGCCAGCGGTATGTTTTCGAACAGAGATTTGCTCACATATCGAGATTATCTTACAGACTTACATCACAGCTTAGTCAGCTGATATAATCCGCCAAACTTTACTGCCGGTTAGCCCTATCCCAGTGTGGGATTGTCAGTCTGAGCTGAAAGGATTTCTTGTTTAACAGAATACTCTGCAGAGTATGACAAATTAAAAAGGAAAGTCCAGTGCAAGGGCCAAAACCGCTCAGTATCACCTTCCGAAGAGTGGTGATGTAAACGCTCAGCAAATTTTATAAATGAGGCCATCGACTGAATCCCAAGGTTATCGATCAATGTGAGATACGGAATATGCACACTATTCAGTCGTCGGGTGACCCAAAGTTTTACTTGTTTAAAGCCGTGTTCTATGTACCTGTCAAGCCTAGGTGTACACGTGTACTCATTTTTCGACAAACAGGTCGGAAATATTTTGAAAGTACGTTTCGAACAAGACAGAGGAAGAATTCAGTCACGTTGTTGGAGTATATTCAAGTGTCATAAGTCAGGTGCTGTGCTATTCTCACCTCACAAAGCAGATGTCTGGAATTCGAACATTCCTGGCAAACCCGATAAGATGAATAGCTGATGAGATCAAATCAGAGTGAAGTTCGAGTGCAGTACTTTCTCCCGTAAGTATGGTATTCAACTAGTCCCGTCCTATGAATGCATGATGTGTGATTTGTCTCGAAGTTTTAAGCACGTGGTGAGTAGGGTCAAGGTCAGCGAATATGAATTGACATTTAAATCTTGTTTACATTAGAGAACTCAGTTCATGGAACAATAAATCATTGTTATGGATATTTGCGAGGTTTTTAGTGGCGTGGTCACAGACTCTGTAAAGGTGCAGCCACCTTAGACCAATCACCAACTGTCAGGCAGTTTTTAAAGTCCCCTGATTCTACCCGACTATGACAGACAGATGAAGCGATCGATAAAGCAGATATCGGTGAAAAGAAGAAGGCCTTCGATCCGGAGTTATTTATCAGAAAATGTTAACTGACCAGTTACAGACTATTGGAAAGGGAAGCAAAACTCTCATTTGCATCTTATTTGCAAAAGCTGGACATCCATCTTCTCCCGAACGGGTCTTCTTGAATTTTTCTGGATATTCGTTGACTACAATCATTCATTGCTCAAATCCAAGCAAATGCTACAAAGCGAACCCAAAAATTCCGCAACAGATCTCCCTTTTCAAGAAACGCAAAGCGAATTTACAAAAACAAAACATACATACTACTCGCATGCCTCCCCATCAGTAGTATCACCGTTACATCGGTAGCGGGTCGTCGTTCGGGGCTTGGAGCAAACTAATCACATCGATCAAGTAAGATCATGTTTTCTGTTCCAGAAGTGATAATCCATGTGCTTTTATTCTATATTGGTACTGGTAAAAGTGTCGTCCCTTCCCTTACGTCAGAACTCCAAAGCAAATTTGGTGGCGCGACAAACAGTGTGGACGGCTGGTGGATTCAAGCCGCAGAAAACCTTCAGTGTAGTACTCCATCGCTTCGTTGTGGTCCAACCATGATGTTTGTGTCGGGACATGATCAAGACCGACCATGGCACCAGTACTTTGAATGCAATTAGTTGCAGGTGGGGACATGAAATTGCATGGGTTGTCATTACAATTCATGAGTACATTGAGGGAAGTGCGATTTCGAATTGGATTACGATTAGAATACAGCCGCCCATCTATTATTAACTGGAATGTTTGATTTTATGCGGTTCTGGGTAATCAACTGAAGTCCATGAATTAAAATTCAAAACTTTTGTAATCCAATATTACGTTTCGTGTCTATTAGTAAACATCCTATATTTTTTGTGTCTAAGAATTCAGATCTGAAGTTTGCCTGGGTGCAAACAAGCCTTGATTCACCAATGCAGTCAGCTGAACACTAATTTGTCTTTTTTCCAATGGGGACTCAGTTGGATCTCTCATTTGTGGTGTTCTTGAAATCTTTCCAAGTTGTGAATGGGGGTGTACTTAGCGAAACAGTTACAAGTTGGGTTCAGGTGGTGGCTGGTGGAAACTCTGGGACTGTGAGACTGTTCGTGAGCTGTAAAAGAGTACTCAGTAGAATATTCAGTTAGTGCTACTTCACGACATGACTTCAGATTGTCTCCAATATCAACCACACTTGTAAACCACTTGCCTGACCTAAAGGACTGTTCGTACGGAAAGTTGAACTTGGACTTCCCATGCACACTTGTCTGTTATGGTATGAACTCTCCTAGGACTATGTTGGCTTTCCGCCTCCCTGAAACCCTTTCCTCAGATTGGATCAAACTTAAGGCTACACCTGGAAACCGTGACAGTCGAATTTGACTACCACAACAAAGGTTTCGTAATTTATGTCATTCGAATGCTCTTGCACCCACCAGTCTAACCGCAATCCTTTCCGTGAACCAGTATGTATGCCTAATCTAATCCGTAGGAAACACATGTGGGAGGCTTTCATTCCGTGATAGTGTTTAGTGTGATGCAAGGCTCAAAACAAAGCCGTTCTGGCCATGAAAGGAAGCTTAAGGCTAAAAGCCAAATGGAACCAGAAGGCTCGTTACTATTGTAGATAGTTTTAAGGATAAGGTATTTCCTTAGCTACTATCATTTAGGTCTGCACTTCGTTATTCCTTGGTTGGCTCCCCGTTTAAATTCGGGCATCATAACCGGAAGTGAGCTAACGTCGTACAGAATAACCAAATTCCCACCAAATCAGTTGGTTTTGCTTGAACGCGCTATCGTGGTATTTTAGGCGAATAGTAGATCAGCAACTGGGAAAAGTAACCAAAATTAATGGTACATTTAGCACATGATTTGAATGGTATTCAGCCGCGAATTATCGATCAATCTTTATGCCTTAAATTGTTTCAAATGAGTAGCGCTCACTTCGCTGCACTTTGTCCAACGAGGTCGTGGTCGAAGTTGACAATATGAGAGAAGACAGAAAGATGGTCAGATAGAGATACTGATTGAACTTTACACACCAGGTTACTTTATGCTGATAAACGGAGGACCACTGTACAACTGTTCCATTCCCGTTGGGAATTACCAGTAGTGCACACCCCACCAGTGTCTGAGCGGATTCAAACATATACCAAATGCATTCTCCTTCTGTTTGAATAGTTCAAAATTAAATGCCATATGCGACATGACAATGACTGATTTCTTGGGTGAAATCTTATCGAACGGAGGTTAACCTAATTTCAGGAAATACTTTCTCTTTTGAAAGCGGACAAAATTGCGCCGATTTGAAGATGTGTTCCGCTCAATTACAATCTTCCGCCCGGAATTCTGAAGCTACCGTCAGATGACAATGTTCAACTGGGCAGGATAAACGGAAGACGCCCTACGCACATACAAGCGGATGTTGCGAATGGTCAATTGACATACAAACCAGAAGACGCGCGCAAACCTAAACACGAACGGAGTTCGAAATGACTTATAAAAGTGATAAAAACATGCAACTAACGGACTAAAAACAATTTGTGGTAAAACGTCCCTTCTAGTGCGCAATCTGTCTTCCAAGTAACGATTGGAAGCGTTAAAACCTCAAAAGGCAAGGTGACTTGCATAAAAGTAATCATTCGTTCCTCCTAGGGCGGGGAAACATGAACCAAAATGAATGACCGTCTCGAATTTGACGAGTCCCGTGTTAGCTGATAGCCGGTGTTCTGCGTGGCTGCTACATCATGCAGCTGGCGTCGAAGCCCACCCACTGGAGGTTAGCGAGTGGTCAAACAAACCGTTTCGTTTTTTTAATATGCGAAGTGAAAGGCCTGAAACATACCATTCGTTTGAGTGAAACGACTGTGGATGAGAATGGAGGGTAAGCTTGTGCGCGAATAAGCTGTATGCAAGCGTTTACCACTTCCACTGATTTGGTGACCTTTCTAGCCTCTCAAAAGCCTGCAACCACCGAGATGGAAATTTGAAGTGACTATTCAAAATTGTTGCGTGGCAATTGCGTGTTTCTGTGACTAGAATAATTGCGAATATCGACGCTGAGCCCCATGTTGCGGGATTAAATTAACACGCTTATTGGCAACTCACACGACACATGGGGGATACCCTTCGTGTGACTTCGGATGCGACATGCTCTAATCCACGTGCTCGTGAGTGGGGGCATACTCACTATCAGCCGCGTTGTTCTTACAAGCCCATACTGAGTGCTAATTGCTAACGTTTTTCGAAGCAATTGCAAGATCGCTGTTCTCCTACTTATCCCACCGAGGTGAATTGACAACAAAAGCCATAGTTGTGCATTTTATCGGTGTACACACGCGTAACCAGCTACTAAAATCACTGGGAGATAAATAAGGCGGGATTGTGAAGAATAATCAATAGGTTTAAAGCTCTTAGGATTCGAGTGAATTCATAGTCCGTACAGAGAATTTCGTTGACAACCGCAAACCAGAACTAGTGTGAGTAATTTTCGACCCATGTGAAAATAAACATGAAAAGACTGGAGGATTGGGAGCCCCGGCCATTGATGACAAATTGATGCTTTGACTCGCATATTGCACAGAAACTAAGGTTAGTAAACAGCAAAGTGAACTGAAAAAAGGCGGATGTAGAACCTGCAAAGGGGGGCTGTGCACAAGGGTCTGTCAACTTGATGCCGCAGCAGTCTTGGGGATAGAGCCTTTTGGAGGAACATGACAATTCTTTCCCTCTTCAAGTTGAAAACGGCGATAGTAGAGCTGTACTTGAGTGAAAATGCACTTCCAATCTGGAACCTTCATTCTCATCAAGTCGGAAATCTCAAGTAACGGGGCGATGTTTCCCATTTTTCTGCAAAAAAGAGGTGAAAATCTAGTGTTGTGCTAAAAACGAGATGCGGAATGCTGTCGAATCCATTCGATCTCGAGTTTGAATTCAGACTTCTGTAAGGTGACACAGCTTTAACGCCGTTATCAAACTAAGTTTTTTAGCGAGTTGCCAAACAGAACGAAATTAAAAATTTGATGTGGGTTGAGCGCAATATCTTGCTTTCAAGTAACAGTAGCGTTTATGTCATCAAATCCCCATTTCTAAATTTACTGTCTCATATATTGGTGCTATATAACAATATAACGCCTTTGGTGTAATTAATTACCAAGAGTGTAGTTCTGCAGTGTTTGTTAGATAAACCGAACACAAGTAATCATACAATTGATCAATACATGACTCTTCTCGGGACGATCAATCACGTGGCAGCTAGAACCGGTGCACATGGGAACACGGTTAGTGAGCTGAATAACTTAGCTCAACTGAGTGCGGTCTTTATCTGGAATAGCTTGTTGATTGTCAACTCCTAAAGCCAATTCAATAAATTTCATTTGCATCTATAACATTGTAGTGGAGGACCATGAAGGAATTCGATGGCGTTTAACCGCGTTTCGTCGCAGTGACGATGCTCCCACAAATTTGATCAAGCGGATGTTACGCACATGTGGCCACATTTATCTTGATGATGGCGATTCGCCTCTACCACCTTCGTTCTCACTGTGGCAACAAGCTAGGCAATTGGCCAAACGTCAGTTCACACCTACAGCCTAGCTCTCACGAACGGTCATTTATTTACCATCTGGATTCCGAAGTGCAAAGGAATCCACAACCGTCTGTTTACCAATTGTATTTTCTTCTTGCCGATCGTTTTTATCCATAGCTTTCTGGGACTCTATCTGATCCAAATAATCGTTACGCCCCTTCATGGATGGACCTTGCCATGTGACTGTGTAATTCTGGGCGGTTTGTTGTCATTTTGTGTCAGTTTCTGTTTTGATTTCCGAGCACTTAGTATGTTCTCGTCTGTTTGATCGTCATTCTGAAGCAGTAGTTTGGTAGCTGTTATTCGGGGCTTCATTTTGAGATTTTGTAGTACCGTTTTAGTTTTTAGGAATCACCACTCAAGGTACTGGTGGGGTTTGGAAGATAAGTATATCCAGAAGAGTATTATAGTAACCGCTTGCGCGTATGGCCAATGCTTCGTTATACCCCAATTCTCAGCGGTTTAGATGTCCTACATAAGCGTACGTCATACTCAGTAGCTAGCGGAGCCTTGCGTATCCTGTACGAGAGCGCTTATGTCCAGAGGTAGTGGATATCCACATCAAATTCTGAAGAACTCCACGCTACCAAGGTCTATGGAACTCACGAGGTACCGGTGAAAGTTCAACTTGTTTCTACCCTCCAAAGATTTGGTTAAATAGGAAAAATCCGGTTCCCTACAAAGTCCGTGAAACAGCGGACACCTTCCGATTGATCGTCACAACCGGCTGTCTCAGCAAACAGAGGTTACTGGGCAAGCTTCCCGGTCGGACAGTTACAGTATACGTTTGTCCAGTGTGCAGCTTCTCCGAGGACAGCCAATCGTAATTCTGAACACGCTGACGAGTTTACACATACCAAATCACAGTAAAGCGAAAGAGACAATGGGCTGCCTGTAGATTTTGAGCTATTATTCCATACTTGTTTCTTTGGAACCTCGAGGTGGCCTGTGTGCTGAACTTTATGCCAAAAAACAGCCATATGCTACCGAAGGCGAGAGGATTTATCGAGTTTTTAAGGCATATGAGCCTTGACGCACTATTCGTTATCAGAAAGTTTTTGTGTTTAGGTTACACTTCCGTAGGACTTGCAACAGTGTCTGAGGAAAAACCCATCTGAGAAGTGCACTGAGTCTTCAACTCAGCATCAAATAAAGCCCCATACGTGAGCTGTCCTCAACAAACCGGCTATCTTGTCGGAGAATTTCACCTGTCTAGGAATCCTTGCCTCCTCGGATGAACCTAACGACTGTTCCTTCAGTAACGGATCGAGGTTGGTCGTCCGTTTTTTCTAAATGTTTACATATGATCCATTTCCTAGCATGAGTGCTTACGTGTGGTCTAACCAGATGGTTTTGATCACACCCAGTTCATTAAGAAGATGAGGGGACGAAATTTACAAATGTTGATAGATTTTGAAAATGCATTGGGCGTTGAATATGGTGGGCGCAAAAGCAAGAATCATTCTGGATGAACAGCAGTGCGTAGGTTGTTGAATGGTTGCGAAATCTGACCAAATTGCTGTGACATGCACTCATTATTTGAAAAGACGGTTGAACTGACTGAATGTTTCACCGCGAAGCGCTGATTGGACAGACTAGATTGTAAATCTACTGGCTCCCTGGAATAATCCATATCCCGCAAGTGGAACTTTACAACCAATAATGAAGCTTTTAACGCAGTTTACACCCCGTAAAAGAAGACAACTTACGCTGATAGTCAGAGAAGCACTGTACAGCTGTTTCATCCTTATTGGGAATCATCAGCAGTGGCATACCATGAAAATCAACAGAGCCTCGAACAGGCGACCTCCTGTCTATTACCCTGAAAACCTAACCGCTCAGTCACGAGCAGCTGATCAGCAGTGTGATTGGTTCTCACTTAGACAGGATATAGCACAACTCATCCTTCAATCACGAAAGCCGTATCAAGTAAACGCATCTGTTGACCGGCCCCCCGAGTGCCGACGCATCTTTTGCTTACCAATTTTGTTCATAGTGGAGCCATCTCCTAAAAATTGTCTTCTGTGTTGCCATCCAAAGTGACTTTGTTTGGGTATTGCGAGCAGTCTTTTTATTTCTGATGACAGATAATTTCCACACAGACTGATTGGTGAATTTAGGATTTGAGTTTCCCGGCTCGCTGAACGTCTGCCTTTCTTTGGATTACCTTCGTCCTGATTGGTCCGTAGCCTTGGTAGCTTACGATCTGGTTTACTTTTACTTGATTTGTGGATTCGGTACCCTTCTGTTTTTGAAAAGTTTGCTTGATCCATTTGAGTACCAAGGTAATCAAAGAGGTGGCAAGTTGTCCGTGCAGATTGAACAGATTGAACATTATTCGCAGACTGAAACAACAACTGATGAAGGTGACATGTTACACTCTAGAAACTCCATTCGAGCGTACCGTCGTTTTTGCTGACGTTCGCCAGTGCCCATGTTAGAGGGAGTAGTGACAACTATGTTGCGTTAGGAAGTCACAGGCATGCACTGGAGGGTCTGAGCGTCCAGTCCGAACGAAACAGCTTATCAGGTTACGCATTCACCGCAGGAATATATGACCGCTGAGAACAAGCTATCTTAAACTGGTCGGAGAATGATCCGTTTTTCATTACCTTCCATACTGTAAAAAGGTATTGAAGGAAGTGTTCCACTAGACTCTGAAAGTCTCGTCTCAGGGAAATACGCGTCTCATTGTCTTTCGAAAAGACGTAAAAGAAAAACAGTCGCTCATTATCCAGGGTGGAAATCCTGGAAGATCCTGATAGGCCTGGGCTGCGTAAAGAACCATCGCGCCCTGGTTGGTAGAACAGTTCCGACAGTTTTTTGGTCAGAACAATAGATTTATCCTACCATTCACTGACTGTCCGTCGAAGAACACCGAAGAAAAAACTACAAGTTTTCTCGTCATACCAGCCCAATTTCTTTTGGACTAGGATAGGGCCTGACTTGATTAAGAGACTGCCTTTGGTGTGACTTGTTTTTTTTAACAAAAAATAAGCCCCATCGCATTAAATATGGCAAACAAACCATAATTCTGCTTCACTGGTTGTTCACCGCTGTCAGATTCAGGTTTCCAAATTGATATGATTCTTCTAATTCTGATCAGCAACACTCGCCTCAACGCCCCTTATCGATCTACCTTGTTTTTATGACGGGTCTAAAAAAGCAATATTCAAATCGGTGGATGAATTGGTTGCTGCGTCTAGCGTCCAGGTTTGTGAAGATTTAGTCACTAATCAAGCCGATGCACTGACGATATCATCCGACTAACGACGGAAGCTTTACACTAAAAGTGCCAAGTTTACAAAAATCCTCATACTACTAACAATTTGTGAGTAGCTCGGAAGGAGGACTGATTCACAAGCCACCCGAAGCCTCGTCACTCGAGGAGCCAGCCAGAACACGGCCAGGAGAGTTGGCTTCTGTGATTACAGAGTGGTTTTATATCCTGTCTAAATGTCAGTTGCTCAGCTTCTCCTGGCTGACTGGATAATTGTTTAAGCTACCAGACGGAAGCAGTGCTTATTTGCTTATATTTCCGTAGACTTTCTTCACGAGGCTTTAATCCCAAAGTTTCATCCCCTATGGTTTACTTCGAAGGAGATTTTGCATCAACACGTGGCCACGTGATGTGGATTCTGTGACTGAAAGGTTGATGGCGCTGTGTGCTGTCAACGTGCAAGTCAATCGCATTGATGATCAGCCAGTCGTAGATGAAAGACTAAGTGTTCAAACTATCAGCCGGGAGAATGTGGGTCCAAAACGTACGGAGTTTCTTGAGATGCCCAATGATGACGATGTCCAATAAGGATGGGACGGCTGCACAGTCCTTCTCAGCTTTCTGCAACCACAATGGCTAGACTGAGGACTTTCCAGCTTTCACACTATCAACAAATATGCTCAGTCCGATACAAGGTTCGACCTTCGGGTGGAAAGCGCGCGCTACCAATAATCTGTACTCAAGTTTAGAGCAAAAGCCTATGAGTAAGTTGGCGGAATTAGCTTATTCACGTGACATAGTGAATTCGGCCAGTGCGCGTAATCTCTTCAGACGTTCAGCTGTCCTCTGTTTTAAGCACAGTAATCGGTAATTGTGTAGACAGATGAACAAACATAAAAACACGGACGAACAAACTTTACGAACACTCACTCTGTTCGTTGCTGCATTCTTGTCCTCAGGTAAAAAAGAAGTTAAACACTTACTTTTGGCTTCTGATCAGGTTGCAGATGATCTGTTCGTCGAGCTTGTCGATCGACTTGGAAGTGTTTCTTAGTCACATAAGGAAATATTATCGACGAGCCTGCGTGCACCTGGCTTATAATCACTAATGTGCTACCTGCGGCGTGGTCTCCTTTTCTTGCATCTGATTGGTCCATTCACTAGCTCCGCTTCAGTAGTTCTGAACCTTTGTTAAGATTGGTCCATTTCATTCTTGTTGTGTGTGTGTTGCATTCCAGCCAGTTGGCAAGCTCGGCGAACAGACTGTCTGCCACCGAAGCAATCGCCAATGTACTGAACTGTGCTTCAACTATTCAGGTCGATGACCAAAACTCACTCTGCAGTATCAAATGCGAGTTCGAAATTTTGTTTGCGGTTCTCTGGAGACAACGTGGAGAAGTCAAACGCATCCGGATAGAAATGGTGGATAAGGGCGCAGAATGCGAGTCCATCAGCCCAGCTGCTTCCAAAGTTTGTGATATTGACATTCTGCGGGGACAGAAAACGAGATTAGTTTGTAAGTACCTTGAAACACTGTTTGTAGGTAAAGTTGTGCTGACTTTTGCGGTAAAACTAAAGGCGGTACGGTGTCTCCCTCAAGTGTTCAGCAGTTCTACGTTTATAGAATCAATTGAAGCACTGTTTGTAGGTAACGTTGTGCTGACTTTTGAGGTAAAACTAAAGGTAGTACGGTGTCTCCCTCAAGTGTTCAGCATTTCTACGTCTATAGAAGCAGTACTACCCGGCCAAGCACACGATATAGTTGCCTAAGAAATCATACACTCGAACCACCCAAAGATCAGCCATGACAATTGATATAACACGATTTTGTTAAGGAACAAATGGGCTTTACCACAGCTACTATAGGACAACTTCGCTTGTTAGCATCAAGCGTTGGGCACCTGTTCCCTACTCCCTGAGTCTCTGAAGTAACTCCTTTTCACTAGAAAAGCAGACTGGACAATTTGATCACTGGCTGTAGGATAGGTGCCCCGGAAAGTGGTTTGAAGTTTTTTATCAGAGTTTGGAGAAGATTCTAGGAAAAAAATTTCACCAATGTGCTTCTTAGTGGGATTTTGTAGTCAGTGTGCAATAGCGCAGTGAGACCCAACTCTTCGGTATGGGCAAGCCGGTAACATTACTCAACCCTGCGTCTGATAGTTCACTGATCCTCATACAAACTCATTTCAGCCGGCCCTTCTTGACTCAGTTAACAACGTAAAACAACGTAAAATAGATTTTAGTGGCCACACTTAAAATAATCTAACCCACTTCGCCTTCCTCTGCTTCATTAGTCAGTTCGAAATCAGAAAAAGGCGTCTCATCCTCAGACTCTCCCGGTAGGTTTACAATGTATTCACACTATTCATACAAGGATCCGATTTGGTGAAACCCAGACCACGGACTGCTTAAGATGGTCCCTGATACCCTTCACATCGATTCTCGGGTGTCTGACGTTCCTGATGCAACGACTCATGGTACTGAGGTTATAGCAGTCTCTCGTAGCCGCGCGACTCCCGTACGGTATTGAGTCCAATTATGTAGTCATGTTTGTGCTGTTCGGTTGACCATCCCACATAAGCTAGGTCAATCTGGACGCTTTGAGTATCAGTCAAAAGCTGTGGTGTCTACAGTTGCTTCAAGCCCTAAAACGCGCAGATTTATTTTACCCGAGTCCGTGCTGTGAGTGCTTAGGTTGATGGTGTTCCCATCCGGACCTTCCTTCTCTCAAAGAAAGTGGACATTTGTGAGCTGAACTGTATCCGTTTCTAGCCGATAAGAACTTTCAGCTCCCCAATTGGATTCTTTCACGTCGTACACAAGTGGAGGCCGATAATCGGTTGGTGTTGAGGTCGTATACAATATTTGAACACGCATATCAGTGGTAAAAGCCTACTTCATTTTTTGAACAAAGCATGGAAAAGCCAAAACAATTACCCATTAGTTTTTTTCCGGAGTGAGTACCAGAAAAACTCAGAGCCATGACACTACAACTTTTAGATACACCGTGAGGATCGGTAAAACTACGGAAACCATGTGACTACTCACAAGTAGTCAGACTGACTACCAGTTTGCTCGCTGAGCTGAGCAACGAGCGCTCATCACTAAGACCAACTGAATTGATGGAGAACTGTCGGATATCAAGAGAACTTTACCGCTTCGACTAACTCACGCAGAATCCAACGGGAAAATGTGCTGTTTGGCTTACCGGATAGTCCTTGGTTAGCATCTTACACCAGTTCAGCATCATCTCTTTCGCAGTGCCAGCTCCTGCACGGCTTCCGGTTGTATAACTGTGCGGGTAGAGATGGATCAGAAAATCAACGTGTATTGTCAAAAAATCACATCTTAAATCGTACAAAGGATGGTTCGATTAATGAAGCACCATCCATGGTCGTACTTTTTAGCTTTCGGAAGTTGCTATTAACTACCAGGTGATTGTTGGGTAGGTTGAAGTTTGAAATTTCATAACCATTTCATAAGCCGCAAAATAGAAAACATCTGTTTTTCAGCATGTATGATATAATACTAGCTCTTATGAAGGTCACTCAACGCCAGCTTTAGGACGCTGAGCAATGGCCACATAAACAATATGGAATGAAACTTGATCTAATAAAAGGTAAGGTACAAATTTGTATCAGAATGGAACCTAATAAAAATTCGCCTGAACGGGGTCGAAATTTCCCAGTATAAGGAGACTTGTCACGTTATCAAGATAACGCACCAAGCGGAAGGCCCATAAGTATTCCATGTTTCTCCTGATTAAAACTCAGCTGTCATAAAGGGAACTTTTCTCATTGAAGACGTAACTTATCTAGAATGTTCTATACTTGGAAGTGAATTAGACTTCCAACAAAAGCGAAAACATGAAGGATATTTTGTGGGGAACAATGCTGAGAGGGACTGAGAATACACTGAGGATGAGTAGATATAATGGCACTCCACCGGTCAAGCTTACACACTCCTGACTCTACAGTAACCTACGTTGGTCGAAATTGTGGAATATTGGCATAAATAATTCTCACCGTCAAAATGAATAAAAAAATTTTACGACAAGTAGACTTAGATAGCAAGATGCCGCAGGTGATTCTCACCTATTTTGGGATGAAGCCTACGGTCTCCTGAGCTGGACTCTGTTTTCGGGTCCTTTTCTCTGATGTTGGTATGCCGATGGCACTAGGCCTATGTTTACTGTACACAGTTTTTTGTGGCTCTTTACATGGGCTTGCTCGCATGCACGCATTAACTGGCGCGTGTTCACGCACGTACGCACACGCACATGCACACGCACACGCATACGCACAAGCATACGTGCACGCACACGCACACGCACACGCATACGCACACGCGCACGCACACGCGCACGCACACGCACACGCACACCACCGTACTTGGTCTGCTAGTTCGCCCAGTTCGACTATCGTTCACGTATGAACTCTATGGTTAATCGATCGTGGTTCACTGAGATTTGAACGAACGTGCGGCTGCGCAGCAACCTTGTCGTTTGAAAAGTCAAGTCCTTCAAAAGGACGCAGATTTTGACCACGTATAACCAGATTGTGAATAATCTTTGCTATAACTTAGATTTCGGTAAACTAGGAATGCGGAACGCGTATTTTGATCTTAGATCTAGACGATACCAAGGGGAAATAGTTGGTTATCGTGTGTACAAGCTGGCAAGCTGTTTAGCCAACTGAAGTGTGCCACAGAGATGTGTCTGTTGAGTACAACCGCAATTTGACTCTCTAATATCACCTAACTAGTGACGACCATACTAGTTTCTGACAAACAGGGACTGTTTGTCATCTCGATGGACCACCGATCGGCTTTTCAAAAGTGACACATTTGCCCAGTGAATTATCGTTCCACCATCTCACGGACTTTTACTGGTTGAAGCCGCAACTCGCTTGTGGAAAGGGCTGCGACAACGCAAATTTTTGAGCGTAAGCTCTGTTTCACTATACACATGCTGGCCATTCGGTTTTTCATTACAGTTTGTTGGTTTCTTCCAAGTTTATTCATCCAGGTGACGAGCCGATTTTTAAGGGTAAGCTCTGTTTTACTACACACATGCTGGCCATTCAGGTTTTTCTTTACAGATTGTTGGTTTCCCCCAAGTTTATTCATCCAGGTAATGAGCCAGCTCCCCACGTAGAGATGCATCCGTTGCGGGATCCACCAGCTGACTAAAAACTAACACGCTTTGGCGATTCAGCTCAGCTGCAGTCTTTTGTTCCCTCTCTCCCTTGGAAAGGCGAATTCCGCGTACACTGCACATTATGAAACGTGTCTCTCTCGTTTAGGCTAAAAACAATAGCAGAGGGTTTTCGAACTGAGGAATACAAACATCACACTTAAATATCCGAGGATAAGTGATGTCCAAGAAACTGAACGAGTTTCACAGCATCTCAACCAGCCTGAAGAAATGTGTCCGGTAACCGACGCCTTGGTTGTTTTTGACTTGAAGTCCGTCTGTGTGTATCTGCCATTCTAGCGGACCACATTGCATACATATTTTGTGATCTATCAGTGAACTATTCACCCGCCTATCATCACACCAATGAAAATGAAATCAACAGATTACGGCATCACGTGACCTGATGTTCATGGCCTCAATCATTGTGTAAAAATGT